TTACATGAAGTATATTATCCCTGCTCGACTCTGTCAGTACTTCTTCACGGGCGTATAGTCCACGTACGCACCGTTATGGAGCACTATCGTCAATATGGATGTCTCTCGGCCCCATGGAATGTGTCGTTGCATTGAGGACATACCGACTGTACGCCAGGTAGCGACAACCAGCATGATATCAGCTAGGATCAAGCTCCCGCGGGATGCGATCGTGACTACTGGGAAGTGAATACGCAAAGCACCCAATATGCCATCTTGGCACGTACATCTGCGTCAAATGTCAGCTTGTCTCCTTGACATGCTACCTGGGGCTTAGAGAATGACGTACATCATGACTTCTTCCTGTGTCATGCGTAAGGACGAGACACATCCCTTGATGATTGGACTAGGTATGCCAGAAAAGTCATACGCATATGAGACCTGCCACCGGGGACGCGTCAGCTGTGATAGCACTCGCCGTGTCAGGTTGGGGTGCATGGCGATTGACATACAAAGTTCAAAACCAGGGGTACTAGGGAGAGTGTGAAGATAATTGAGGTGAAGACGCGGTGCTTAGTTAACGCATATACGCGCGTTGTCGAGAATGCTTGCATGGTTGGTTCATTCCCTGTAAGCTGACGGTGCAGACAACACTCACCTGCGATGGGAAGCACATGGAGCCAAACCAGTGAATTTGCCACTTTGACAAGCGCATCGCAGCTGCCAGAGGAGAGTATGCTGGAGGCGCTGCTCAACCAAAGTCAACACCATAGCAGCCGCGGGGGGGTAAGGGAACCTGACGAACGTACTTGATGACGCCCAAAATCCCGTACAACAAGGGCATATACCTGGTCGCGAAGAATATGGCAGTTGCGGGAGTCGGTTCGAGACTCCAAAAGAGCTTGATTTCGCGGTCAAGTGTGATCAGGAAGTCATAGAAGACGATGACTAGCAGGAAGATAGTGTCAGTGAAGTACCAGTGAATGCGGGGATTATGCCCCCACCTGTAGCCGAGTACCCAGTAAGGTGGTCGGTCTGACTAGGAATGTTCGATCATCTCTCAACACCAGCACACGTAGAAGACGCAGACCCGGACTCACAAATTCGAGAATAGACTGATGATGGCGGCTTGGTCGGTTGGTGAAGCCATGTTGAACAGATGTAGAGACACGGATGGCTTGATGGGATCGAGTGGGGATGTCGAGGAGACTCCGACGGACGTGCAGCTTATACGCTGAACCGACAGGGTTTGCGCTTCCACTCGCCCAATCGAACTGACTGCTCACCTGGACGGCCAGAATCGTGTTCATCTGCAGTCCTCGTGCAAGCAGACTTCGCCCCGAGAGCGTCTACACTTGTACGCTGATATGCTGCGAGTCCTACATGTGCTTCTGGCATCCAGCGACGGGCATCCAGGGTTTGGCTGTTCACAACTGAATCTTATTCGGTTCAGCATGCGGGATTACCCCAGTCCCCATGGCAAGAACGGCGCACTCGGGGGAGTTGGAAGTAGGGCACTGATGTATGGTGTGAACTGAGACGGTAATGACTGTATAAGAAATGACGGAGCGTACCGATACACCACGATGGAAATCTTACCCATCAGATGACATCCACATAAGCATCTCACCTCCTTCTATGACAGAAGCTTCTTGCAGAGCATAAAGGGGCCGGCAACCTAAGTACGGACGTGAGGCATTGCAAGGGTTCGCACTATCCGTTCCTAGCGTAGAAAGGTTAAGCGCGACAGTAACCGTCAGTGGGATCAACATATATACCCACAGGTTCGCGATGCGCGCAGCATGATAACTCTATCGACCTCGTTGGTAGTGTCCGGCCACCGCATTTCCGGTGACCGCAAGATATAGATACTGGCCGCGGCGTTCCATGCAAGCGCAACCGACGCGAGTACATCAGACATGGTTGCCGCATGACGGACAGAGTGCGTAGGCGACTTCTGTACCTCAGTACCTCACTTTGACAGTAAGCTGTCCAAGTCAACAATCCAACCCTAAAGCTGAGTATGATGACGAACGTACTTGTGTACCACATGGCCGTAAGAGTCACAGTCTCAGCCGCCGAAGTTGTTGATAGACGCGATTGTGTCCGAGCAGATCGAAAGCGCATTCAAGGTGAAGAGGTGAGACGTCTGACCGACAATCGACCTTACCGGATTGCGGCTGTTAGAACATCGTAAACGGGTAACGTAGTTACGATATCTTCATCTCAGTAGGACACATAGTTGAAGAAGTACTCAACGAATACCACTGCTCACTCACAACTCATCCGACATGCCCTGGTCTCCGTCGAAACAAGATATCCGCTATGGGAGGAGGAATGACGTTGTTCGCGAAATAGAGGTTCTGCGGCCGGGGACCGTTGGTAGGAAGTTTGACGTCGTAGTTGACGATGATGTACGCCAGCATCGCCTTCAGCTCATTCGATGCGAAGAATCTCCCGGGGCTGCGTGATTTGTCAACGCGTCTCGTCTTGAGAGCAGATTACACCGAGGAGCTCACCATGCATGCTTACCATGCCCGAAGGAAATATTCTCTACGGAGGTGTGGACGTACTGATGCTTCATCCCTTCGCCGTCGGCTGAGCGCATGCGCGCATAGCGGAAAGGATCGAACTCGAGCGCGTTCTCGTATATCCCCTCGTCATGGTGCGTCGGATACGACGCAGCGGTGATCAGCGTGCCTTTCGGGACAACTGTGCCGTCCGGTAGCAATATATCCTTCATCGCCTTGCGTGTCATGGCCGCTGTCCAAGCACATGGTCAATTTGCGAGGTGATCGGCCGCTGGCTCCGGACTTGCACTTACTGAGACTGACGCCGTTGACGCGTTGGGACTCCTTGAGGAAGCTATCGATCTTCCACATCTTGTCCATGGCAGCCTTCGTCCAACCGTCCGTCGCAATAGCAGCCTCGACCTCATCTCGCAGGGGCTGCATGTATTCTGGAGTCGCAGCGAGATGGAGAAGCGCGTGTGAGATTCCCTTGGGAACGACACGTCAGTTAGCTAGCCGGAGGGGTTGGCCCTGAAGACCCATCACGTACGTTGGACGAGGTATGGATCGCTGCAACGTTGACAGACATTAGTCGTTCAGTGATCTGATAATCGGGACTGCGACGCGGTATCGCTTTCTCCAGAATTCCCTCTAGCATGTCCCTCTACATGACGACAAAAAGCTCGTTAGTGACGCAGAGTCCGGAGTTAACGCAATTGATTGGTTGGTGAACGCACGGGCTTCCCCGGATAGTCGTCGCCATACAGTTCCATCTTTGCCTTTCGTTCATTGATCAGAGGTTGAAGGTGAGCCATAGATTGGCGAATGGTCCTCCTTGCAGCACTGAAGCATCGAGATACATAGCTAGTGAAGGTATGAACTAATTAGTCTCCACGGCATAGTCACATGCTTACAATTTCAGAGGTCCAGGTGCCAGGCCGAGCACGTAGACATCTTTGAAGATGTCTATGGCAAACTTGATGGTCAGTTCTAGGTAGTCGTCATTGTGACCTGTGGCACAACTTTGTCAACGGGGATCGGTACTAGCAGGAGGGGTAGTAGTATACATAGAGGAAGTCCGACGAATACTCGATTGCTAGCACGGGCCACTATCTTCTGCGATGCCTGCATGATATTGACCCGAGTCCATTCTGTCGACGCATTAGCGGAGGTCTACGGAAGCGAGCTCAGGGAACGTACCATCGTCCTTCGCGGGGATATATTGCGGTATGGCTGAGTTTAACTCGTCGAAAACGTCCGGGAGGGCTGCGGCAGGTGTTCGCACGAGTTGATCCTTAATGACGTCGAGATGGTAAGGATCGTCCACAAGCTCGCGATCCCAAGTGAATCGAGTTTGCAGGACCTTCCAATGCTAGTGAGACTCGGTGCGTGAAAGTTGAAAGTAATTCGCTCACCTCCTCTACAGACTCAGTGAAGGATGCCTCGTCGTCGGGGCGTTTCCGTAGGTCGTCTACCATTTTCGGCCCGGAGACGACAACCAACCATTGGTCGAACAGAGCCACTTTGAACGCGGCGCCGTAGTACTGTGCAGTCAGTCAGAGATGATGTGACAGATGGACCACGGTGATAAGTCAATTCTTCCGTACCTGCCTGTAGCCTGTACTCAGCACCGCCCTGGCATTGAGGAGGAAGTTCGTTGCACCCCAGTATGACAATATGGGGATGGAAGGACCACCGACAGTGGGAATGTTGCGGAGCTGCCGAGAATTGAAGTCAACGACAATGTAATCCACACTAATAATGGGAGAGCATACCGGGTCAGACCACCATCGCACGACGCAAGCAACAACAGCGGAGGCGAGCAAAGCGTACAGAATGCCTTCTTTTTGGTCGTCCATTCTCTGCTAGCACTCTCCAGATGTCCAAAGCCGTCGGTGGCGTCCCACTTCCGGGCTCGACGTGGGCATAAATACCCGCTCGGTGGCCTAGAAGCATGTTCCCATGACAAATGCCTCCGTGCACATACATTCAATTGCCACGAGATGATCTGGTCATCAAAGGGCCAGTCAGGTCATTTCCCTGTGTGAGGCGGAGACAGTGCTGCTCCCGAAGGGACAATATTATGGCGATAACCTCGAAGGGTCGAGATTCCAGGAGTCTCGTTGGATAGCCCAAACTCTATGGACTGCGATTAGCCAAGGACGAGGGGATGGTGTACTCGTACAGCAACTCTGGCACTCAGCAATAGCGGGTACGTACCAGCGAGATCGTCCAAGGAAGAGCTCCATTGACTCGGCGATAAATTGCTGATGGTATGAGTTGTGTGGTAAAGCGGAGCGTTGGCACGTAGTGTAGGCTAAGCCGCTAACTTGTATCCTGAGCGAACTTGCGCCTCACTAGAGACGCGCCGGGCCGGTTTCGATCATGTGTGATCAGATGCGCTGCGGCGCGTGTTGTGGTACATCACGCTCGCCTGTACAACCATGAATTCGAGCCCATAGAGTTCTCTCTGAATCTCTAGCAAGAACCACTGAACAAAAAAATGCTGAAAGCCCACCGCGGGGGTCGAACCCGCAGCCTTGAGATGTTACGTAAGCGTAAAAGTCTCACGCTCTATCCGATTGAGCTAGGCGGGCCATGTAAATTATCTATTACAAATATTGATGAGTAGCAACAGCATGCCATCACGCCTTGTATAATGAAATGTCACGTGAAGCGGGGGAACAACGTCATCGACCGAAGCGCGTCCGACGGAGAACGCTCAGCGCGAGCGGTTCTGTCTTGCCTCCCACCCGCTTTCCTCCCGTCCAAGTACCTGCATCTCCCGCTGGACTTTTCACCGTCTCCTTCACTGTTTGACGATGATGGCCTCTCGACTTGCTCGTCGCGCATTCGCGAATTCTGTGCGCCCCGCTGCACGCGTCTCCGCCCCTGTCGGTCGTCGGTTTGCCAGCACAACCGCAGGCCATGTCGCGAAGGAGAGCAGTGACATGCCTTGGATTGTACGTGGAGCTGTACAACGATATGCGACGTGTCTGATGATCCAACCATGCGCACTATGCATGTAGATTGGCTCTGCGCTCGTTTTCGGCCCCGTGGTGCGTACCGTCAGTGGACGTGAGAGCGAAGGCAAGCTCACGATGCAATACTCCTACAGATCGCGTATCTCCTTACACCAACCGCTAAAAGCAAGGCATCGCATGCTGCTGAGCACAAGCACGCGAAGGCAGGCATCAGTGCTGTGCCGAATGAAGTCGATGCACCTGCACCCAAGTCCGACGTTGATGCGTCCGCAACACAGGCGATTGTATGCGTGCTCGTCAGTGCAGAACTCGACATGTACTCACGCATCCACTCCTACCGCAGGTGTCCGACTCGCCGAAGGACGCGCAGGCTGCTGAGGAGGCGAGTTTCAGCGTGACCTACGGTTTCGCTCTATGAGGCTGATTGTTTTCCCCAGGATTCAGCTGTTTCCTCTGAGGATGGAAAGGTACACGGTTCTCCCGAGTTGACCGACTCTGAGGGCACTACCGTGTCCGCTGAGGAGGTCGACGCCTCCATGAAGCAGGCATTTGTGCGTGTTCCTTCCGGTCTATACCCGATCATGCGTCATATTGACTTGCATCATTACCTCTGTTCGTGGACAGGACGCCAACCTGCCCGTTGACGCTCAGCGCGCGGAGGAGGGTGAGGACAAGTACGCAAGTGGCGCTCCGGGTCAGACGGAGGAGGCCGAGACCGACCACGAGCAAAAGGAAAAGCCAGGCCGTGCTCATACTGGTACCCTCCAGACTGACGACCACAGTGGCCCGACTAACTTGGGTGACGCTCGCCAGGCCAGCACGGTGCGTGTGCCTTGTTACATTTTAGAGGTGCACTGACGAGCTGTGAATATGTAGTCCAAGCAGGCCCCCAAGCAGGCATCCCAGGACTAACTCATCTAGCATCGGACATCGCATATGGACATCGTATCGCATGTATCTAACTGTTTGTGATCAACATGGTTGGACAGTGCTCAAATGGGGTGGTCGTGACAAAGTCGTGGGGGTATAGAATGTGGATAACATGCACAGGCGCAGTCACAGTCAGGCAGCGGGAGTATCCGCAGGGGCGGGCTCCGTAGCAGCTGCCGGCGCCGCATCGCTCGTCAAGTACTTTTCGAACCATCCGATGACCTGCTGGACCGCATTGTCGCGCCCCTGCTTCTGCTTCTCGTCCGCTAGGTTCGCGCGCGTCGTCCAACCATGGTGCACGCCCTCATACACCACCACCTCAACGTCCTTCAAGCCCCTCTCCTTCAGGATCTTCTCAGTCTCCTTCGCCTTATCCGCATTGTACATCGAATCGGTCTCCGCGACAGCGAGACTGAATGGGCCCTTGATTCCATCGAGCTCCGCAGGGAATTTGACCAGCGACGGGTGGCACGCGACCGTCGCGTCGAACTGGAAGTTCTGAGAGACCGCGAAGCGACCGCCCCAGCAGAAGCCCACGAAACCGATCTTGGCATCCGGGTGCGCGGTGCGCAACGCGGAGACGATGGTGGTGAGCGTGGAGACCTGGCGCCCGATGTTGCGGATGATGAAGGGGACAATGAGGAACAGGGCGGCAGGCGTGAGGATAAAGCGTTTGAAGAAAGTGGGCGAGGGGTCGTTCGGGTCGTGCGCGGTGAGCGTCCACATCGGCAGCTGCCAGCCTGTGTGGTTGAGCGAGGTTAGCCAACTATGTCCCTGTCCTCCAATATGTCAAAGACAAGGGAGGCGAAACATTCTCCAATTATAGGCATGGGATGGACGCAAAAAGCCTCCTCAATTGCTTGTTTTATTTTCTCATCTTATTTCCCACAGCTCGGCAAAGGTGGGGCCGTGACAGGGCAGTCGATCCGAAACTCGACTCTACGCTACTCTACGCTGCATTTCGCGTAGAGTCGAGTTTCGGATCGACTGCCCTGTCACGGCCCCACCTTTGCCGAGCTGTGGGAAATAAAATGAGAAAATAAAACATGCAATTGAGGAGGCTTAAAGATAGGACATTAGACAGAGAAACGCATGCGCACCGCCGAAGAAGTCGGGCACGATCACCCTGAAGCCCTTCGCGGCATACTCGTCCGCGAGCAGCCGTGTGTTCACAAACTTCCACCCAAAGACGTCCGCGCCGATGACGATGATGCGCTTCGACGCGTCGTCGCCTGTCGCGTACGCGTCGATGTTCGCGACCTTGATCTCGGTGCCCTTGGGCGTGCCGTCGGTATGTACGAAGCCGGTGACGCAGTCGGGGCAGGACATGGTTCACGAGACGGTCAAGCTGCGAGGCTCGAGAGGGTGGAGGCGCGAGCGGGGATTGGGAGATGCGCCGTGCACGCCTGTGGTGCTGGGTATAAACGTGCAGCGGCTCACGACCGGATGATACGAGCACGATGATATCGGACTTGGCGGTGGGATATTGCATCTCACGCCTGCGAGACCACGTCGGGCAATAGATTCACCAGGCCATGCCGGATGTGTTCGCGCACCTCAGCACTGCTCAGAGTCCGCGACACTGCGAGCTTTCACCATCATGCGCGTTGTACTGACGGAGTCGCGATGACTGTGATGGTGTTAGCTACGCCGAGCTACACCGAGTGTCGGAGAGCGTGTGGGTCAAGGGATGGCTGCCAGTACTGGCATACTCCAGCATAGTCTACCCAAAGGTCATCGACGCCGAGACTTGCAAGTTGCGACTGGTGAGCAAGAGAGACAGGCGTTTGAGCAGGCCATGAAAGTCCTGAGGTGTCATGGTGATGGTTATAAGTAGATGGAACGCGCGCGCAGCGTGGTACGTGCGCCTAGCACAAGGTCCGGTATAATATTGTACATTGCAGTGTCCAAAATAGCGACTACATATGCGCGGCAGCAACCTAGCATCGTACCTAGTCTGCCTTGGGCTTCAAGCCAGACTCGTCCAGGTGCCTGGAGCGAGGCCCGCCTTCACGGCGGCGACGTAGTGCTGTCTCTTCTCGAGGTCTGAAGTCATCGCGTGAGTACATCCGCCAACCCGAGGTACACAGACTAGCATGCATACCATGCGCCCACATAGCCGCGCCGACGCGGTTCGAGATGGAGAACAGAAGACCTATGATTGGGATACGCTCTACAAGCGCCGCGGCGAAGCCGAACGCTAGAAGAATAGGAGGTTCAGCGACAATGAACGGAAAGAAGTCGACTGTGGACCTACCTCGGTAGTCCCACTTGCGCTCTTCAATAAAGGTAGCAATCTGATCGGGAGTCATGTGCTTCGCCTTGTAGTACTGCAGCACAATGTGTGAAGTTTCAGTGAGTGCATTTGGACGAAACGAGATGGAAACTGAAGCTCACAGGCTCGTGCAGGTACCGCGCATTGCCCAGTGCTTTGAACCACGCGACAATGCACATACCAGCAAAGGGTATGAAGTTCAGGGGAATGGTGATTACTGCGACGCCGTCATCAGCCAAGCTGTTCACTTCCTTCCTTGAACACACATCCAGCTGTATTCTCACCTCTTGCAACGATCCGCCCAATAGGGCCGCTCATGAAGACGCTCCAGCCCCACTTCACATGCTTCACCTTGGGAGGATTGTCCCACTCCTCGACGTACGGGCGCCACCAGTCTGCACCCTTGCCGCGGGACTCGATGGTCTGGTCGTATGCACGCGAGCGTGCGATGCCGATGTTGCGCGAGAGGAAGAAATAAATCATCGCGGAGACCTGGCTGGACAAGAAGAAGAGAGTGGCATCTACTCCTATCGTCAGCAGAGGGCTCAAACCCGTTGACTGAGCTTCCGGCACGCACAGGTAGGAAGGTCGAATGGCATCTGTATCCCGAAGAGACCCTCCCGGGAGAGGCCCGTCACGCGAGGAGACCTAACACTCTATCAGTATGACAAGAATGCACAACAATGCTGCGACTTCACTTGATAAGGAAGTATTCAACGAATGTCTTTTGGACCTTGTACGTTCCAGCTGCCTGCATATAGTGTCAGTATCCCAGATATTGGTCGAGTGCACCGACCGACATGGCTACTCACCCAAATGAGTCCCACGGTAGCCCCGCGCACGAAACCATGCTTGCACTTCTGCCATGCAGGCACCCGCAAGTTCTTGTCCGTAATGAGCCTGTAGAACCCAACCACGACATACGACGGCGGGAACTGCAGCCTGCCCGTCGCGCGTCGCAGGTTCTTGGGCACGTCTTCGGTATACGGGCTCGGTACGTCCCCTCCAACGTACCCTCCCGGAACGATGGTCTTCTCATCGATCTCTGGTGTAGCCATGGTAAACGAAGGGTTAGGCCTTGAGGTTAAGCGCGTCGAAGTCTTGCTAAGTGGCAGTCGATTGTGAACGTTGTTGGACGCGAGCCACGCAGCCGTGGCGTCATACAAGCTCGTGGTGGCGGAGCGCCCATGGGTGTGGCGGTGCTCGCCGCAAGTACGCCGCGCGGCGGCGACCACCTGTGTCTTCTTGTTTCTTGATTCTGCTCCTCTACCACGCGACTTCCACGAACAAACCACGGTCCACATCACTTTCTCTCGACTGCATCAGATTTCGCGGCGTGGTGGTTCAAGGTGAGAGCTCCGTCACCCGGACTGGTTAGCTTGCCCATAGCCTGCAAGACTCCTTTGAT